TGAAAGAAAACAAAGAAACAAAAGTGAAAGTAGAATTATAAGAACAGAAAACAAAGGTCTATACTTCATGAAGTGTTAGGTGATAAATTAATCTCTCAATTAACAAATAATAGAGTTGGGACCTTGGAGGTCATCTAGTCCAACACCCAAAGCAGGAGACCCTATATTATTCCAGACAAGTGGCTATCCGGTCTCTTCTTAAAAACTTCTAGTGATGGAAAATCCAAAACTTCTGAAGGCAAGCCATTCCACGGTTTAGACAATTTGTTCCGCTTGCCTAAAGAAGGGTATAGAAAATTGTCTTCCAAGACTGAATTATACAGTTTGCTAGAAGGTTCAAGTAAAAGTGGCTTTGAATAAGAAAGTGTAAATTTATAAGAATTATTGCTGCAAAAATCACAATATACAAGAAAAATATATTGTATAATGTGTCTAAAGAGGAAAAGATAGTTTGCAAGAAATATAGTCAAAGTGAACAAACACCAGATAAGATAAAAGAAAAAGATCAAATTTAGAGCAATTATCATCCCACAGACAAGACTGTACTACTTTCTCAAGCTCACAAGAAATTCAAGAATTTCCAACGAATAATAGTAAAGTTACTTATTGGGCCCCACTTTTGAGTAGGCTGGACGGTTTCCATCTGTCCTTTATTTTGCAACTGTCAGATTTGCTATCATGTTTCTTACCGAATGTGTGAGAACTAATTTTCAACAATTGTGATGGAAATAAAACTTGTTTTGGAAGTGGATAAAAGGCAATAAACAAGCCTTTAGCAGAGCGAATGGAAATAAAAATTTAAAAAATGATTAAGGAATTGGGATGAAAGTGAAGTAAGGGAATACTTGGAAGCAGTATTTTAGGGATGTATAAGAGAAAAATAAGAAAAAGTAAGTACAAAACTACCAGGAAATAAGTTTCTAAATGTGTTTGGAAAGATATTTGGCAAATTTCTGATTGAAATTGTATTAGAGAGGACAGTAAACAAAATTTGAGAAGTATATTATAGCTTGTATGCTAGGCGGGGGTTAGAGTTAAAAAATATATAAATATGAAAATGTTTGTAAAGGTAAAGGTTTTCCCATGTCCATTTGATTCCAACTCTAGGGGGCAGTACTCATGTTCATTTCTTAGGTGAGGGAGCCAGTGTTGTCTGAAGGCATTTCCGTGGCCATGTGGCCAACATGATTATATGCCGAAGTGTACAGAATGCTGTTATCTTTCAACTGAAGTAGTACCAATATATCTATTTGCATTTTCATGCTTTCGAATTGAGAGGTAGGCAGGAGCTGGGGCAAGTCACTCGGGCTCATTCGGGTCTCGAACTCAGACTGTCAGCTTTCCAGCTGACAAGCACAGAATCTTTAACTGCTGAGCCATTGCGCTTCCTTTGAGAAAGTTTGTAGTTTGTACATTTGTTGATTTAGAGGAAAGATGAGATAAAATGCGTAGGTGTAAATTAAGGAATGCTTTGCATGATTATTGAATTGATTACTGTTTGCTGAATGTGATAAGACTGGGGTGGTATGGAAGTAAAGCATAGGTGAGAATAAATAGAATATAATTGCAAATGGTTGAACATTGAACAGAGAGTAAGACAAGCATGTTGATGTCCTTGATTCCTTAATGGATGAATGCATAAGGAGTGTTCATTTGAGATGTGTATTAGGCAGTTGTGCTAGTCAGGGACATGAATATATCCAATGTCATGTTGTTAGTTGACAACCAGAATGATATGCTGGAAATAGTATGACAGAATGAAGAGTATTATCTGACAATAACATATAAAAATCAAAGTAGCTGCGTTTGTCAGAGAAAACAGAGTGAATGATTGCAATTTACTCATAATTTGTCAAAAAATAGAGCAAACAGTTCAATTTTTGTTTCTTGCTGGAATGATTACCAGATATAATGACATGGAGTGTTTAAGAAACAAATAGTAGTAGAATGATAGTATGTAGTTTGGAGCAAAAATGTATGTGCGCATGTTTAAGGAATGAAAATGGCTATACTTAAGAACATGCATCTAATTCATTTCTAATGTGAATTGTTGTGTCAATACAAATACTGCATAAAATATGTTGAATACAACAGGAATGGAGTCCTTAAGAACTGTGTGAAGTGTAACAAGAAGATTTGATTTAGGGTCATGATGAGTGGGTGCTTAATTAAATTGAATGGAATATACAGAAAAAGAACCATCACAAAAGAAGTACATTGAGATAGTTTAATCATATAGTATATAGCAGGGGTTTCAAACTCAAGGGCCACAGGCCAGATCTGGCCCACAGGGTGCTTAGATCTGGCCCACAGGGTGCTTAGATCTGGCCCACAGGGCCTGTCTGGAAACAGCATAGGACCGGCCCGCAGGGCCTCTGCCAGCATAAATGGAGCACTCTGTTTTCACTGGCAGAAGGCTGCAGGAGGCCATCTAGGCCAAAAACGGGGCGGGCTGCGCATGTCCCACTGAGCTCTGTTTTCAGTGATAGGGGGCTGTCAAAAAAGACTAAAACCAAAACAAAAGGAGACATATTTCCCCTTTTGCTTTGAGGATGCAAGAAGGGAAGGAAAGGAGAAAGGGAAAGCCAAAGAAAAAGAAGGGAAGGGAGAGCAAGGGAGGAAAAATAAGGAAAGAGGGGAAGGAAGAAGAAAGAAGGAAGAGGGAAGGAAAAAGAGGAAAGAAGGAAGGGAGGGAGGGAGGGAGGAAATTATAATGCGAGTGAGAGAGAGTCTCAGGGAAGTCCTGCCTTAGCACTTGGCCACCACAGGTGTCCCCGACATGAGTCCCATGTCACGCCCAACATGGCTATGCTCCCTGCCCATGGCCACCATGGCCACGCCCCCAACCACGCCCTCTGAGGTCAAACACAACCCTGATGCCGCCCTCAATGAAATCGAGTCTGACACCCTTGGTCTATAGTCTATAATCATAGAGAATGAATGAGCATCGAATTTCAAAACTAATACAGGTAGTCCTCAACTTATAACCACATCTGAGCCCAAAATTTGTGTTTCTAAATGAATCATTTGTTAAGTGAGTTTTGGCCTAATTTTACGACTTGTCTTGCCACGACTTGTTATTGCTTGTCAGAAGGTCGCAAGAGGTGATCACATGACCCTGGGACACTGCAAGCCTCATAAATATGAACCAGTTGCCAAGCATCCGAAATTTTGATCATGTGACCGTGGGGATTCTGCAATAGCCGTTAGTGTGAAAAACTGTCATAAGTCACTTTGTTCAGTGCTATTGTAACATTGAACAGTCATTAAAGGAACTGTTGTAAATCAAGGACTACCTGTATATGAAGGAAAGAAGAAAAAGTCAAGAGGAAGGGGAAACCAAAAAGACATGGTTAGAGGTTGATGAGATGGTCAAAAAGAGAGAAGTGAGAAATTTAAAGAAGAAATGGCAAAGTACGAATCCATTTCTGAGTGTAGATGCAAGATGCCATGCAAAGTTAGAAGGCTAAGGGAAAGTATTGTGAATGGTTTGATGTAAGTCAGCCTGGCTTAGCCAGGTTTAGCTAGATTTTCTTGTTGTTTTTTTTTCCTCATTCATGTCATTAAATCCTCTGGCTTATTGTTTCTTATTCCTTTCCTTGCTCTGCATAATGTTGATTACCTTGGGGAAAAAATGATTAGGGTGTGGGTGGGTGTGTTTGAATGTATTTATATATACTGTACATATACATTAAAAGATAAAATTGAGCAGAGTTCTACTTTATTTATTCTGCATCCCACAAAACTATCTGAATATGTATTTTTACTGAAACACTAAAGAGGAATAGGAGAACGATCACAAAGTGAGACCTGATCAAAAAATATGCATTCCATCCTCTAGTTTTCCTCAATTTTGACCAAATCTTGTTATTTTCCCTCCTTGATCTTTTAAATATATAGAAGAATGTCACAAAAGATAAAAAGCACAGGACAATAATTTGTGCACAGCTATTTAGCACACTGGAAGTTCTCTGGTTGGAAAGCATTATCTTTTCAAATAATGTTTAAATTATCTTTAGATGTAATATGAAAGAAATGATAAAAGTATGCAGACAGATCACTCATTCTCATCATAATTATAACATTGCCAAATGGAAATAGCTGTATGCGTATTATTTTACGGGCTATTAGAACAGCTTATTTTCCAGATAGCTATTGGAGACACTCCACCTAGTGGTGTGTTCAGACTACGGCTACTCTTTTTTTTTTAAAGCTATTTTGATATAATGCAACTCTCAAGATCTTTGCTTATTCAGGAGTCTTTTGAGCTACCGATAGCAAATGTTAACACTCTCTGTTCTTTCAAAAGGACCTGATACAACTCTTTCTCCAATCATAGATCAAATTGGATTGGAAGAGAGGAATTAAGTTTAAAATACAAAGCGAAAGAATGAATAGATACATATCTGAAACGAACAAAATCCTTCTTTAGCTTTTTTTCAAGTTTTATCGGAATGGCAAATACCAACGAAACTGGTATTAAGGCAGCATCTATGCTGTGTTACACTGGTAATGGTGGTAAAATTTCAGAGATGGATTTGTTATGATAGTTATTCAGTTTTTCACAGAAGCATCTTGCAGAAACTTTTGTGAAGAGGGGGTTATTAATTTGAACTGGGATTAAAATCCATATGAGGTAACTAAGGAGTAAGATCTTAAATTGGAAGTTAAAGAAATGAAATAGAGAGAAAGTCCTCTTCAATTATTTTTAAAAACACGCAGGCAATATAGATAAGGAGTATACATGAAAATGGACATGCATGGAAGGACACTAATATAATTTCTATAGCATAGGTAAGCAATATTTAGGGACCATTGGACACATTTTGATTTTTTTTCCCAAAAAGAGCCAGGTAGACACCCCAACAAGTATCTACAGAAAAAATACTCTTGGATATGACCTATCCACATTCTAATTGAACCATGAATATGGATTTCTATCAATCGTGACTTCTACTATTACTGAAACTACCTGTAGTGTGTATGTGTATGATGCTCACATGTCACCTCTTGGCATCAAGCACAATTAGAGCATGGAAGGTTTAATGAATAAATTTTTGAGTGGAGACTTCTCCAAGTACTTAACTCTGCATAATTAGGGCTCCAGGATTTGGAGAAGCCTCTATTTATTGAAGTCAAGGCCTCCTTTCTAACATAATAGCAGAGGTTAGAGGAACTGTGTGGCACTGGGGTGGATTCTAGAGATATGACCTACAACTGTTGCCTCTTACAATAAGTACCCATAGGAACCTTAAGAAGCTGATGTCACAAAGCAATAGGTATGGTCATGAGACTAAATTAGAGTTTTGATTTGAATTACCCTGCTAACTCTTGAGCTTCTGACTCCACAAGAAATTTTTTCAGGAGTTTAAAATACGTGCACATGAAATTATTGAACTGAAGAATTGACAGAGACTGTTTCATCGAGCCTAACCTCCATACATTTCCAACTGAGGGATGACCAGTCTCTGCTCAAACCTATCCAGCAGAGTCTCAACCCTGAAGCCATTTTGGAGCATCTTCAGGGCTGCCACAGCAATGCTGGTTGGAGCTGTGGAAATGGGAGGGGGGAGTAGAGATAGCTGGGGACTTGTAGCCAAAATAAAATTCTTTCTCCTGGGAACCAAGGACGTTCTCACCGGGTGTGGGGAGGCATGGACTGAAACCAACTGGAGTTGGGACTGTGACCTGATTGGACCATGTGATGGATATGTGGACTGGGGGAAAGAATTTTAATATTTAATTTGGGTGGAAAAAACCTCGGGACCTTCAGAGGAGACCATTTCCAGTGGACCGTTGGTTCCACTGTCGAAGTCTTTGTTACCGCTAGAAAATTTTTCCTGATGTTCAATCAGGCCCAATTTGGAAGGTGCTGAGGAGCTATACAATATATAATTATATAAAAAGAATCTTGTAACAAATATTATAGTAGGTACTATGCAGTGACCATTCAAATTTGGAAGTGTATGTATGTAAGTATGTATGAGCTGGAGTAAGAACTGTTTTCATGTATTTACTCGTTAGAATATTTTTTATTCATCAGTGTAATATAGAATTGCTAGATATTTTCATATAGAGAGAAACAATGAGACAAATGAGCCTTGGTAGTACAGGGGTTTAAGGCACCCTGTTATTAAGCTGGTTATTAAGACCAGCTGCCTGCAATTAATGCAGGGTTCGAATCTCGCCAAGGCTCAAGGTTGACTCAGCCTTCCATCCTTTCTAAGGTAGGTAAATTGAGGACCCAGTTGTGGGGGCAATAAGCTGACTTTGTATAAATATACAAAAGGATGAAGGCTATTGCTGAGCACATTGTAAGCCGCCCTGAGTCTTCGGAGAAGGGCGGCATATAAATCAAATTAAAAAAAAAATAATCTACAGTTCACCTTCCCACGGATGAATACATCAAAAGAATGTTTAAGGAAATACACTGTGTGCATTTTGTTTATGTTCTGTTCACATAAAATGATCCCAAGAGACAGCTTACACAAATTGTTCTGTTCCACTTATTGAATTGTTCCTAGATTTACTGTACAAAATCTATACTGGCTGTGGTTGATGAACCACAGGGGTGGAATCCATACAACCTCTTTCTCTAAGAAAAAGAATGCCCTGATCAAAAAATAAATGACACCCATCATGCCACATTTAAAAATCAAGTTCCCTTACTGTGTATGAGATATATAGCCTTCTGTCTTTTGGATATGACATTTCCTGTATTCTCTGTTGAAGTGAGGTTGATGGAGCTTACATGCTATGTGACTGCTTACCCAAGTAAAATTAGCACATTATTCTTTGTTTCCTGAGAAATCTCGGAGACCTGTCCATAAGCTCAGTGTTTCCTCTCTTATTTTAACATCTACATTCATTTGTGTACCATGCTCACTTGTCAAAAAATATATTTCAGCCACTGGTCAAATTAAGCTCACAGCCTTAACAAAAGCTCCTCTTTCAGGTACAGTAGTGGCCAAAATTGTGGAAACCTTTTAGGAAAAATGTATTTTTGAGGTTTGATGGCTAATAACAACACTTCTTTTTTGGAGTTTCAAGATAATCATATTCCAGTGTTGGAATGGCCTGGGAATAGCCCAGACCTTAACCTAATTGAAAATCTATGGAGCCGACTGAAGAAACTTGTTAGTCAGAAGCGACCCAGCAATAAAATGCAGTTAATAGAAGCAACCATTCAATCTTGGTTTCACATTATAACAGCTGCAGAACTAAAAGACTTGGTTCACTTCATGGGAAGATGTTATAAGGCTGTAATTCATGCTAAAGGTTACCCAATTAAGTATTAACTGACATGGTGATAATTTTTGTATATCTCATTTTTTCTACGTGTTTCACTTTTCTTCTTTATACTGTAACTGCTATTCTAATAGCAAATCCTTCATAAAAGTAGCTTCTTTACATTCTTGATTAAATTATCTTTCCATTGATATATAATTTTATGGTACTACTACAAAAAAAAGTAGTGTTATTAGTTAGTGTTAGAAAATACACTTTTCCCAAAAGGTTTCCCCAGTTTTGGCCACTACTATATGTATGTAAAAAAGCACTCACATTCTAATTACTTATAGAAATAGTTTATATCAAGCCAATTTTTGATTTAGTAGCAGATAAACTGTATCTTGATGCTGATCTATGTAAAAAGGGGACTAGAAAAAAAAAGAAAAGAATCCAGCCACTATATGAATTAGCATGAAATGAAAAAAAAAAATTACAAAGTAATATTTGATACATTTATGCTAAATTTTCATAGTGGGTAGTTAGTAGCAGTGATGTTATGAAATTGTGACCAGATTTATTACTGGATATGTGGTACTATCAGCAAGAGTAGATTACATAGGTAATGGTAACCAAAGTGTTTCTTCAAATGTGGTCCTGGACCCTGCGCCCCCCCCCCCAAGACCCTCTCAAGGGTCCTTGAAATCAAAACTATTGGTCATATATTGAAGATATTTGCAAAAATTTAAAACAATGACACCCTTCTCGTTATTTTTTGCTTGTTAAAAATATAGGGTTTTTTTCATGACAAATACTTTATTTATGTTGTTCTCTACTTGGTTTAATATTGTTATTTTTACATGATTCCATAAATAGATATTCTACGGATGCCTCCATCTTAATTTTTAATGCAGTCAATATTACCCTTAGACACAAAAGCTCTTTTGGGGGGGGGTCCTCCATAATGGAGGGAAGGGATCCTGAGAGCAAAATGTTTAAGAAACTTTGACTTAGAGGATTCATGGGCAGACTGCAGGATACATAATGCTCTTCCCCTCTAACACTTTCCTGTCGTTCCTGCCCCAAATCATTTTTCCATCTGAGACAGCTTCCTTGGTCTAATACGGGTCAACCCAACCAGTTGATAATCAAACAAGCTATGAAGAAAGCAGAAGCCATGCGGAGAGTGGAGAACGATATACACTGCCTATATCAGGGTCCCTCAGGTTTTTCCAGCTTTTCAATCTATGTTTAATATGACCCAAATCAGACCTTTCCATGCTCATTAGTTTCAGTCATACTACATTGTGAAATTCCATGTTTGGTATGCCAAACTGACAGCTGCAAAGACCTTGTCAGAAGGCAGCCTTCTGTCAGAGAATTCGGGGGTGCTGGGTTCACCTCACATCTGGTGGGTGCCAGGTTCAAGAAATCTACTCATAACAGCAGCCTCAGCATTTGATTCTGAAAATGGTGGTTATCTTGAACTGGAAGATTTCTCTAGCTATTGCAAGTTTGTGTTTTACGGAGAAGGTTTTGGTTCATAACTCCTGAAAGTCAGAGTTAAGTGAAATTGAAAATTACTCAGGCCTCTAGTAATCTCATGAATGTTATAAGCCATGGAGAACTAAAAATAATTTCTAAGCAGCCCATTCCCAGCTGTGATAAAAGCAGTTTGAGGATGGAAGGAACAACATTCAAGACAAAAGAACTTAGAGCAAATGAGCGTTGGGCACAAATCATCATGACGTTTCAATATAGTAAGCCTTAAAGAAATGAATGGGTACTGTATGAAAAGAGGATTTATTCTTCGTAGCACAATTGGAGTTCCAAACTAAGCCTGATTCTAAACTTTTTTTTTTTACTTTGTGATTCTTGTGACATATATTTTAATCCAAAGAAAAGACCATGTTAATGAACATAGAAAAACATCAGTCATATAAATTGTCTAAATGTACAGATGTTGATTGTTCAGATCACTCTTGCGGGAAAGGTTATATCTTAGCACAGCTGAGAAGTTAATAAAACATTTAAGAAGTTCATTAAACTATCAATAAAAAAATATCATGACAGAAAAATGACAGAAGTTGTTTTATTAATGGCTAGGCTAAAGAAAATGGCCAACTTGGTTGTAAAGTTAACAGAGAAAATAATGTACATTTTACATTTTTAAAAGCCATTTTTTATGGTGTTAAATAACAAGCTCTGGCCTCTGGAGGATTCAGCTCTTGCAGGATGACTTCATCTTTCAATTTTTCAAATTAGGTCAAAATAACCAATTATTGTAAAGCTTTCATTATGGTGGGGCAAAGACAAATGTTGTGGTAAGCAAATGAAATCTGAAAAGTTGCCAGCATACCTCAAAACAGTTTGATGTGGCTGAATGGGAGATAGATGTACGACAATGTTTCCATTTTCTTCTTAATAGGTATTTACCATAGAGTGCCAATTTGAGATGACTCTCAATCTACCCTTTTTTTCAAGTAGTAGAAATTTAACTGTGTCATGTATCATGTAGCCATTCCTTTGGCACCGTGGTGCCAGTAGAAAAAAGAAGAAAAAAGTGTTCAACTTATTTTTGCGCACTGTAAAAATTCAAGAAGAGCAACCTTATATGATAACTCTTTTCTCCAACAAGACCTGAGAATAAGAAGTTATGGAGAAAGATGTGAGGCAAAAACCTTTTAAAAAGTATGGGATAGTTTTAAATTATTTAGAAATAAATGCCCAGTAACAACCCTGTTTCCCCAAAAATAAGACATCCCCTGATAATAAGCCCAATCGGGCTTTTGAGTGCATGCGCTAAAATAAGCCTCCCCCTGAAAATAAGCCCTCCCTGAAAATATTTAAATGGAGAACTAGAAATCAGGTAAGACACCAAGAGGAGCCCCATCTTGCTTCCCGTGCCCCAAAATAATAAAATCTCCCCCAAAATAAGGCCAAGCGCTTATTTAGGGATTAAAAAAATAAGACAG